AGTAGTTCAGACACAGGTGAAATGGCTGATTCTCCATTGGCAATATTCCATAAGGAGATGTTGTGCTCTGTATGACCTAACCCCAGTTTCTAGTAAAATATAATCTTCCCTTTTATCTCTTTCAGGATGCTAACTTGTCTGTATTTCAAGCCACTTTCCAAGCCCTTGTGACTCACCAGAACTAGAAAATGAACTAAGGAGCAGTCAGAGTCACTCATCCTTTTATACTTTTGGAATCCTTCCCATAGAGAAGAGGGGCAGGGACGAGTTGACTGAACAGATGCTGCTCCTCAATGGTTTCTGCAGTGTTCACCAGTAGGAATACAAAGAGGAGAAACTATCAAAGAACAGTTCCTGGTAGCTAACTTTTTTCACTGCCACCTCATGCTTCCCAGATAGTTAAAGCTCCTGGAAAATCTCATGATAATATTTGAGGAAATTAGTAATTAGGCAACATTATTTTTGCTGAGGGTGGTTTGAGACTGAATCCTGCCCCTGTAAAAGGTTTTTGTCACTAATATTGGACTTTTGCCACTGATATCAGAGGGAGCAGCAGGAGGCTTTTCTGCACGTGTGTGTATATGTGTGTATAAACAGATTGTCCTCTATTGACTGGTTGCAGGGTATTTCTACAAGTTTCAGAATGAAAATCTTTTTTTACTCTGAGTTTCAGAAGCACGAGCGCCAGGCTCTCTAGGAGTAAAGTCTTTCATTATGGAGAGGATAGATTCATATTAGTTAAGATTGCAACCACAATCTCATTACAAAGCAGGTTTTTACTCAGTTTATGTCCCCACTCAAACAAAAAGAAGAAAATATGATGGTCTGGTTTAATTGACCTACTTTTAAAATAACAGGCTTCTTTCTGATTTTTTGCAAACCGCTACAGAAGCACAGGTATGGAAGTGCAGTTGTGCCACTGTGGTGTCATAGTGTAGCTGCATCCTATATTGATGACAGGTTTTTTCATCAATGCAGTTAATCCATCTCTATAAAAGGCGGTGGCTTGATTGATGGAAGAATTCTTCTGTCAAAATAGCTGTACCTACATTGGGTGTTAATTCAATCTAGCTATAATGTTCAAAGCATGAAATTTTTCACTGCTCTGAGCAACATAGGTTGGCCAACCCTGTAGATGAGGCATTAATATGTCTTTGTACATCCAGCTACCCAGTGAAATCTCAGCCCAAAATTGGGAAGTGTATACACTGGCATGTTCTTTTCAGAAATATCTCAAAAGTTCCAACAGAATTGCCCTTCAGAGGTACGGAATAAAACTGGAAATAGTACAGGTTGTACTTCCTTAACCGGGACTCTCTAGGGAGTGGTAGCCCCATCAGCTGGGAGTTCCAGCCATGGCCAGGAAGCTGTGACTCCGGTGGTGGTTGTGGAGCTCCAGAGTCCCAGACAAAAATCCAAGTGGCTGCAGAGCTCTGGCTGTGCCACTCCAGCCCTGGGAGCAGGGGGTCTGGTGGCAGCTAGAAAGCCCCAGGGGAATGAGGCAGCAGGACAACATGGGCCATGAGGCAAGGGACCTCCCTTGGTCCAGCAAATCCCCTCATTTGGGATTAGTCAGGTCCTGAGGGTCCCGGACAAAGGAGGTCCAACCTATAGAATCTTTCATTGGGGGAATTTTATATCATGAACTCAATGTGAACTCACAAAGAGCTGTCCCAGTCCCCTAGCATCACAGAGAGAAACATCTTACGCAATATTTGTCATATTGCTCTGTACTTCATCATCAAACTGTGAAGTACATAATCTACTGATCACTGTCCATCTTCCATACTGTCTTCTACTGCTCAAATGTCCCATTACAGCATTTAAAACCTCTAAGATTACATGTGGGGGCTAAGGTACATGGTTCTAAAGATCTGCCTTAGGAGGATAATGGAAGCAGAGGGGCTCCAGAGACTGTGAGGGAGCAGAGTGTATTGCCAGTTCTTCATCTCTGCAGGTTAGTATCATTAGTATTTTACAACAACCTTTTTTTTTTTTTTTACCAGCCTAGGTGTCTGCTACATACTTTTCCACAGGTTCACTGTTACAAATCACTATGGTGTTATTGACAACCCATAAACAGATGGAGCATGAAAAAAGTTGGTTATGATGCCAGTGATAGGTATGTTGTGCCAAAGCTCAGCAGCTGTGCTATAAAAGTCTGTTTTGGCTTCTTACGTCTGGGTTGTGCATAATGCAAAAAATTGTTTCTTTGCTCGTGCAATAACGTCTGCAAAGTGCTGATCGATGGATTTGTTTAGAGCTGTGTGTATCCTGGTTAATTCAGACTGATTTCACTTGATTGCTACTGAGAGCTCCTCCCATTATAAGGAAATAACAGGCTACTCTGCAGATACAATCCATCAGATTAGACTTGAACTATTTGCATCAGTGGAAACCAATGCTAAGAGTCTAGAATGCGTGATCTAACCATGTGGGTTTCCATACATTTCAATTCAGTGAAACAACTGCAGTTTGCATTCTTTTTTAAAAAGCATACCCAATGCTGACTTCTATGCTTTTAATGCCTTTGCTATCATTACAGAGACATCAGAGATCACATTGTTACTGATCACTGACACTTCAAGTCTTCTGACATCTCAGCCAGTCAGACATCATACTCTCAGCTATACTTTGGTCTTTACATTTCAGTGATGAACAGGAACAGTCACAATGAAAAAAAAATCATAGATTCAAAGGTTTAAAAGCCAGAGGGACCATTGTGATCAAATAGTAGTTAACCTTTCATGCGAGTCTTAAATAAGTCTAAATTAGAGTGAGAGCCTAAAGTCTCAGTTTCAGGTTACACCCTCACAGTCTTCAGTGAAGCTTTGCTAGAGTAAAAGAGGGCAGTTAATTTCACAGTGTTAAGAAAAGGTCTTTTTTCATTTAAAGGTGAATAGAATTTTTTTTTCAAAATAAATACTAATATCAAAGTTCCCAAGTCATCTTTTTGGAAAAGACCTTAAGAATTGCCCAAACATTCCTGCCATAGAATTAATTTGGCAAATTAAATTGTTCTAGATGTAGGCTGCAGAGTTGCAGGAAAGTAATATTAGTAGATTAGGAAGAGTGTTATTACACTTCTGAGAAGACACAAAAAAAGCTAATAAGCCAGTGAATCAGGGAAGCTTGATGGTCTTAATAATAAACAAGAAAAGGCTATAGAAACACCTACAGGTGGTAAAAGTAATTGAGCATTCAGTATGGATTCACAACATAATCCCCATATGGAAACAGATGAAATATTTACAATGGGAGGCTGCATCATAGGACACTAACATTTATTAGGGTGTGTCTAGATTACAGGGCTTTTCTAAAAAAGTAGGTTTTTTCGAAAAAATGTCACCTGTATCTAGACTGCAGCCATGTTCTTTCAAAAGTAAATCAAAAGAATGCAGCAGTTTTTTCAATCGCGGTAACCTCATTTTACGAGGAATAATGCTTTTTCCTCCCAAAGTACTCTTTAGAAAAAAGGCGCTATTGAATGCAAACTGTGCTTTTTCGAAAAAGATCATCTAGACTTTTTCGAAAAGTCTGCTTGTAGTCTAGACGCTCTCTTTCGAAAGAGGCTTTTTCGAAAGATTCTTTCAAAAAAGCCTCTTTCGAAAGCGGTTTGTAGTCTAGATGTAGCCTTAGAGAACTATCCCAAATAATCACTCTCTCCCTAAACATGCATACTTCAGATGCCAGATTGTGCACTGCTTGTATGCAACAATAAGAGAGGGAAAATTTTGGCTCCAGTGCTATAAACCACCAAGCACAATCACTGTCTGTAAACTGGGTTGTTTGTTTTAAAACCAACCCAGCCCATTAATACCTTTCAGTAACTCAAAATATCAGAATTTTGCGCAAAATTTCTTTCTTACTAGCATCAAAGAACAATGTGCTGCAGTCAGATGAAATCCACTACTGCCCTTGTCCATTGTTTTTGGAATAGATGTCCTGTTAAATGGCATAGGTTGTGTTAGCAACCTTACTAGCTTCAGCTCAACTAATTGAGCATTTATGTTCACCTAAACCAATTTTTTTCTCTAAGAGCACCCAAACAATAGTTAATGTGCCTGTAGTGCATCTGCTGTAGAATAACACATGCAAAGTATCCTAAGACTTATCCTGCAATTCTCCTGAAATCTATGGCCCCATTGACTTTAATGTCAATTGTTTCCCAATGTAATGGAGTTACAGTTAGATTACGTCTACATTACAAGGTTATTGCACAAAAAACGGCGAAGTGTCCATGCTTCAAGCGTGCTTTTGTGCAAGTAAATTGGCAGAAGAGAAGGCTTTTGGCGGTTCAGTTATTCCTCTCGCCACAAGGAATAACTCCTTTTTGTGCAAGAGTTCTTGCACAACAAGGCAAGTGTGGATGCTACGCAGGGGTTTCTTGTGCAAGAAACTCCTATCCGAAAAAGCACAGGTGCTCTGATGGCCATTCTGTGATTATTGAAAAAGACGCTGAAAGGTTTCAGCAAACTTCAAAAGACACCAAAGCTTATTTAAATATTATTTAAACTCTTTTTTGGCTCTTTCCTCCCTGCTTGCAACCCTCTCATAGTTGAGTGTCTCCTTCACCAGTGGGTCCATAGACCCTTCACCATTCTCCTGAGCAAGGAAATGGTCTTCTACCCCACCCCAATACCCCACTTTTGATGATCTTATTGTTGGGCACAACTGCTTTAGCAAATTATCCTACTGCTATGAAACATGTAAATTATTATTTTTGCTCCACTTGCTTCAAAGTCCATAAAATATTTGTTTAATTGATCATTAGAAGCTTCTGAGACCAGCAATAAGCTTTCCAAAGGTAGGTAGGATCAGATGGATAGAGACCACTGAATCACACTTATTGGCGGGGAAGCAGGGGAAGAGATGCTTATTGGCAGGCCACAAAATGAGACAGTAGAGGTCTATGGTGAGGTCCTAAGGTTCTCTGTTGGTGGCCTGTGGATGAAATTCACTGCATGCAGAGGGCTACACAAAGCCTATGTACCACTTACGTCCTCCTTCTTTTGGTGGCTTGAGCTGGCCAAGTGTACAGAAGTAAATGTCACCTCCCATGAATTGTGAATGTTCTTGCTTTCTTTCCCCACTGAAATGGCAGCACTACCAGGGAAAAAGAAATGAAGAAATGTCATCTGAAATAAGAGTGCACTTGTAGAACTGCACAGGAAAATGATCAGCTCTCATCCTATCAAATGGTATTAAGTCTGTCATCTCAAAACAAGTTCAGGATCACAGGGGGTAAAATGAACTAAGGTTGAGTGAGGAGAGCTGAATTACAAAAAAACAAACAAAAAAAAACATCCTAAGCATCAACCAAAACATAACTAAAATGAGTTTGCCCATGTTATTTTATAACAGAACTGGAAACAGGTAATGCCACAAGCTAAATGTGCCATACATCTTGCATTTATTATACTTTTCTCCTACCTGTACATTTTTAAAGCTCTAAGTCATTTCAGGCCACACAGCTCCCTCATGTGTTCATTACAGAACCTTAAGCTTCAAACTGTACATAAGAGCAAGTTTC